TGCTGCAGACCCGTTCGCTTCAGTAACGTCACAAGGTTCAACCCCATGCCGCATCTGCCCAAAACCCGGCATGCAGCACAAATGAGAATGCCCGGCACTCAAAACAGTGCGCCCGTGGTGTCAGCAGGAGAGTATCACGTACAGAAGAACGAGGAGGTGCATGGCGTTGAGAAGCTTGACACGGTAGGGCCAGGTACTCATAAGGTGGACGGCTTGTACGGCATAGATACCCGTCACCAAAGCAGCTATGTTGCAATGCATGCCGGCATCGAGGGGAGATTGGTGAGAGTGGAGTGTGTGGCAACTGAGCATGATAAGAATGTGGCAAACTTTGTGAAGCGTACTCTGGGTGATCGGATACTCGGTACAGGCGGTGAGGGCAATCAAGATGGCGAGCTTAAAGGCACCCGATGTCACCTGTCCCAAAGGTGATTGTGAGTGATGGGATGGACGAATTGCGCTCATTGCCAAGGGCAGGGGGTGCATGTACGCTCCCGACGAGCAAGGGTAGCTTGCGGTCAAGGAGACGAACCCAATGAAATGCGCCCCGGCGCGTGAAAGAGGTCCAAAAGAAACTGCGCCGCAGAAGCCAGGTGTCATCCGCGCGGGATTCTTCGTGTTGTTGCCACCCGAAAACAGGATAAGAGCGCGACAGCCGACCAAGAAATATCAGATCCGACAGCCTGCCGTTTGCACGCACCATAGGCAGCTTCCAAGCTCTGAATCTGGGCTTCGTGGCGGACGGAGCTGAACGTGATGAGGCTGCGGTGGACACGACGCCAGCCGGCCCAGACAAGGCTGACGCCCCAGGCGGCGGTAATCGTTGCGCCAACGACCTGATAAAGGAGCTGATCGGTGCTATCGCACTCGATTGCGTTATCCACGTAGAGCAGGCGGGCACCAGTGCGCTCGTCGCAGACGAAGGGCCGGAGGACGGCAATGCCCACAGGGAGCAACAGAATGTAGCCTGAGACATCCAGCAATGATATATACAGCCACGTCAGTTCGGCCACAAGAAATAATGGGTAGGAACGAAAGGGAAAAAAAGGGACGAGACGGTGATGAGGACTGGGTGCCTAGAAGTGGGCATACCGAGGCTGTAGCTGATGGCAGCAAGACTAGCACGGGCCAGATTGATGTCACGTAGGTGCCTCAGAAGGAAGCGGCGTGACAGCCCTCGGCCCAAGTACAGCACAACGGGCAAAGCCACAAACACCCAAAAGTATGCGGCGTAATTAAAGTTCATTTTGTTCACCAGAACCTCGCTAGAGGCCCCGCTGTATACACGGCTGGCAGCAAAGGTCCAGAAATCCAGACCCGGGATGGTCATCCAGCCAATGCCATCGAGCAGACTATTGATGTGATGGTTCAGGAGCGATGGGGAAAAACAGGACGCCGATTGGCGGCAAAGAAAGTGAGCAAAAGGTGAGTGAAAGGGGTGCTTGCTCAAAGAGGGCAGGCTGAGAAGAAGCAAAAGGCTCAGAGATGGGAGAATTGGCGGGATGGCGCGTACGAGGGCTCGGGGTGTGTGGAAAAGAGGGCCATGTTGAGGAAGACCACCATGACCTTGGAATCAAGACGACGAATGTGGCAGCAGGCAGAACAGATGAGATGCAACGGCGAGAGGCGCCCGATCGCCACACTGTACGGCCCAGACTCGAGACTGCACGACTCGTGTCAAGTACAAAGCGCTGCACGCAAACCTGAAAAAAGTCTACAAAAAGGAAAGCCCAATTGACGCCGAGGAGCCGGGCCGAGCGCCGAGTGACTCGTGTGCCCTGTCCATCTTGGCCCGCCTCAGTACCCTGGTCCAGCGTAGCAGTGGCGAGCCCGGCCTCGATATCAATCATGGACGCCCTGTCAATTGGGCTACACGGTGAGGTCCAGGGCGTGGTAGCGCTGCACCCGCAGCACGGCCAGGCAGCAGGTACAGAGAACAAGTCGTACCGAGCATTGTTGTAGGGTATCTTAAACTCCAGGGGATATCCCCGAAGAAAGTTTTCGCGCACGCCCGAGCCTCCGCGCGGCGCCATGCTGCGGTTTGTAGCGACACCCCACGCACATGCGCGCGCGCGCGCAAGAGCGAGAAGGAGGGAGAACGGAAACGGAGGAGGAGGAGGAGGAGGAGGACTGCCAGCCAATGAGACAGCGAAACCGCGGCTCGCTCGTCTCACCCCGAGATGGACCTTCCACCCAATGGCCCCAGATCCAATATCCCAATACCAAGCCACGATCTCACCCCTCCTCATACACCCACCCTCACCCACACCACCGTCACTCGGCTCACACACGCACACGCTCACTCGCTCACACTCTCACACCTCCGTCGTCTGGGCCGATCAACCCGATGCAGCACACACACACACACACACAATTGGAATTTTTTTTTTTTTTTTAATTTCCTCCCCTAACAACGACACACACACACACACACTCTCTCTCTCTCTCTCTCTCTTTTTCTGACAATCATCTTCTCGCTGACATTCTGACAACAAAAAGCGTGCGAGCAATTCTCATCATCACACACACACACACACACACACAAGCTTTTTTTAGATTTTTTTGGGCTC